CTCAGAGAACCGGCGGGTCCCTGCGGACCTTGGGAGAGCGCCGGTTCGGGGTGAGTCCGCACGTCTGCCAGACGAGCTAGGACCTCCGGGGATAGAGCTTCCTGACGAAGCGTCCGGGTCTCGGGGAGACCGCCTCAGAGGCGAAGCTCGAGTCGAGCTCGCGGTCTCACGGTGTGTCGCGTGTGATGTCGAGGGTTCCGTCATGGTAGGTGCCTAACACACAATACAATCTAGAAACCCACGTATTCGTGGTATGGAGTGTAAAAAAGTGTAATGATACGGGTGTCGCCTGATTCACACAAGTCCAAAGTACACTGAACCAATCTCTAGATTGAGAGGGCGTATACTATGGTGGACGTGGTGAAAGGCTGAGAAGCCTTCGCCACGTCGCGCGGATCCAGATGGATCAGCGCCGATCACCATGACGATCCAGATTTAGATACAAGATGTAGATTAACTATGTAGATAAGATAAGATAATGAACGATCCGTTACAGTCCGTGTCCTCGATGTCTCATTGTCAAGGAAAGACTGGGCGAAATGGGAACCACGGTCGACTACCATCATCGCAACAAGCTGCGCGAAGACAACGCGGACATTCAATGGCGCATCAAAATGGCGCGCCGATGGATTTTTGAACAAGGAGTTTCACTAACGAGTGTTTGGCTCAAACGCACTCTAGGGCCATTGTCTCTCACCCCCACCCGTGTATGTCCTGCTCGAGTGTCGTAACAAGTGACTGATACCACCATGTAGAACGCGTTTTCGATCCGCTTGGCGGAACATGGCTTCAATTTGTATTCTATGTACACCCCTGACCTCATGCATGAGTTTGAGCTTGGGGTCTGGAAGTCGACGCTCATCCATCTTGTGCGCCTGCTGCACGCGTTTGGAGGAGATCGGGTGCAGATGTTTAATCAACGGTGCGGAGCTCACAGGTTATAGAAATCTCGAGTACGAGACTGATCTTATGATAACTAGCTATCGGCATATCCCGACATTTGGGCACGACACGATCAGGCGCTTCGTCAACAACATGGCCGGCTTAAAGAAGATGGCTGCGCGCAATTATGAAGATTCCTTGCAGGTATGTTGGCCTATTTGACATCTTGAAAGAATAACTCCTTTGTTATCAGTGTGCGTCTCCTGTCTTTGACGGGCTGCCTCCGAACGACCAAGACAACAAGATCATCCTTGACCCTCTGTTTGATTACGGATGCTGGCACTCCCTTGCCAAGCTTCGCCTCCACACGGACGACACACAATCGCTCCTCAACACCATCACAGTGCACACGAGTGCCTCTGTCCACAACTTTGCCCGCACAACATGTGCCCGGTATGAAACCTACGAGCTCCCCAGAGAGAGCGCAGCGCGTGGACGTCGCACTGCGGCTCTCGCCAGCCGGGGCAAAGGTAAGGGGACTGCTGGCGGTCGCAAGCTCAAGAGCTTCAGCACCACGACATACAAGTATCATGCCCTGTGGGATTACTCTTCAACAATACCCATGTTCGGGCCCAGCGACATCTACTCCACACTTTATGTGAGTCATGCATTTTGCCCTCGCACACTACGGAGGCTCTGTTCAGGGAATCAGGTGCTTGTCAAGAACGTCGAGGATGTTCTCGCAGACCTTGTCAACATCGTGAGTGCCACCAGATGTTGAATGTGTCTGGTGATCATGCCACCAACCAATTGAAAGGGAGAACTCGAGCACAAGGTCGTGAAGAGGTTCTATGCACGAACCAACAAGAACAATCACGCTGGTCAGATCGCCCGGCATGTACACCTCCGCAGCAAGATGCAGCGTCTCACCGACCGTGTTGGCATTGCGCAGCAACCCCTCAAGTCACGCGTGGCTCGTCAGCACCATGGCAGAGGGACAAGGCGGGCAGATCTCACTCAAGGGATAACGCAGGGGCACCAACCAACCGTTATGTGATTGCGGAGTCCCAGCGGGAGTACGACGACATCCTGGTGTTTGCGTGTCAACGGCGAAACGACCCGGCCTATCAGGTATGTGTGTCTACACCTCACACCTCCACAGAGGTGCGAGGTTGTATGTGCGACGCAGCGGAGGTTCAATGTCATCTTTGTGATGCAGCGGACATTCGATGTGGTCGTTGAGATGCAGCGGACGTTCAATGTTGTCTTTGCGATGCAGCGGACGTTCAATGTTGTCTTTGCGACATAGAGGTGGTTCAATGTTGTCTTTACGCCTGAGGCGCGACTTGATGTCCTCCTGGTGTCAGGGAAGATGGTTGCATTCTTCGATGTACGCCTAGATGCTAACATGGATACCCAGTCTTTCGTTCCACAGCTTAGGGAACACATCCTCTCCCGGATGCACGCCAATGAGGCCAATGGTGGCCATGTTGAGCGTTCTCCCGAGCGGCGCAATTGCATCCATTTCATGGCCGATCGTATCTATCACCATTGGCGAGTCCGTATCAACTACACAACGTATGACATGCAACGCTCTCAAGACGTCATCAATTCCTGCTCCCACCCTGATATCATGGTTCTCCATCACGACGATGAACACGTCAATGACCCCCACCCCTACTGGTATGCGCGGGTCATCCAGGTTTTCCATGTCAACGCGTACTATGACAACCCCTCTACTAGGCGCACTCTGCCCAAGCGATTCGATGTCCTTTTTGTCCGCTGGTTCCGACTTGATACCAACACTCCCTGTGGCTTTCATGTGAAGTGCCACCCTCGTGTCGGCTTCGTCCCCTTCGACTCTGGTGGTTCTTTTGGTTTCCTCGACCCGGCACTTGTTATTCGTGGCTCGCACATCTGTCCGCTGTTCCGCTATGGCTTTACTGACACCCTGCTGGCAAAATCTTCAACACGTGATGGTCAAAATTACTACGAGGATGCCGATCACTATGACGAGGATTATACATATTATCTGGTCAACATGTATGCGGTCATTGGCATGCTTCACAATATCTACTGATTCGATTTATTCTACAGGTTTGTGGACCGCGACATGTTCATGCGATATCTAGGAGGGACACATGGGAGTTGGCACGAAGGCCTTTGTGGCAATTGATGACGACGATTTTGAATGGCAGGATATAGACCCGGAAATGGAGCTGACTACAGATGATGGCGAACTTGAAGAACCAGTGATGGTGTCCTCGGAGATGGAAGTCATCCGCCTTGCTCGGGGCGAACGCGCTGCAAGATCCTCGGGAGCGAACAACCAGGAAGGCGATGACCGTGTAGAGAATGAAGAAGAACCCAGCGAGGATGACTTTGAGGGCAGTGGCGGCGAAGATAGTGAAGATGGAGTTCGCACCGCAGATGAGGATGACAACGAGTACAGCGTGCAGGGCTACGCACCACCATAACCTGTCTTGACTCAGATATCATGTAATGTGGGAGCTGTCTATAGCACGCGGTTCATCGACAGAGGTGTAACGAGCGGTACCCGTCAGGTTCCGGGTCGACGGCGAACCCAGTACATGTGTCGTGGTGTGGTCTCTGTGCATGTGGAATTTCACTTCGGTAGACATGTCAAACATTGGTCAGTCTTTGCTACATATAAGACGAGATTACTGCATCCATTTTCGTTGTCATCAAACTCCCTGACGACCTTATGACCTGCCTCGCCCCACGGAGGTTTGCAATGGCGAGCTTTAGTCTCGTGACCAGACGTTCGGAGCTTGAATCGGATGCGAAAAACCGGGGGCATCCGAGCTCCTGAACGTCTGGTGGCTTTACTCCCGTGACTCCCCGCTCGGTGACCTGTGTCACATATCGATCCCATTTGAGGCAGTCCGAACAAGTCAGAGGGCGACTCCAGTGTGCGATGTGGCGGCCTGCTGTTGTAGTTACACCTTGCGAAACCTCCTGTACTGGACACAATGATCTCCTGGATTATCATGTCTGGCTTGCTCTAATATACTCTACATGGCTATCGTTACTCTCTGACTACTATCCCACGAAGAAGAACACGCCCGCTCATATGCCGTCCTGGAAGCCGCCCGAGACGCCGTCAAAGCCTCGCGTGGATACAACTTGGAGGCCACACAGCAAAGACTTGAAGAGACCTTCTGACAGCGCATGGGAGGGAAGGTGCCACACCAGTGGCAGGCGGATGTCTCAGAGGCACTGTTGGTGGGATTAGACTGGGTGCGCGAGGATCTATAAGCGCCCATGGAGCGGACTACTGTGTACTGCCTATGAGAGATAGACAGATTGAGTATGGAGGATGTGTAGCAAAGGCTTGTAGATGTCATAGAGACGTACCAGTTAGAGGAGTGTCGACAAAGAGCGGAGTAGGCTCAGCGCGACTCGAAGATAGCGGGGAGATAAGCAGGCAGACGCGCACGAAGGACAAGAGGCAGGGAGGTCACACCGGTCACCGAGCGGGAAGTCACGGGGGTAAAGCCACCAGACGTTCAGGAGCTCGGATGCCCCCGGTTTTTCGCATCCGATTCAAGCTCCGAACGTCTGGTCACGAGACTAGGCGAGCTTATGCGTTGCAATTCCCGGCTTGCCATTTTGGACGTTACCATTCCAGGCACGCGTGGCATTGCCGCTGGCACGGTTTCGCAGATTTGCTGATGACTAGTTCTAACGCCACGGCTCTCCAGATGACGGGGCTCATTGAGCGAATCGTCGTTCATGTCTTCGCTCATCGCTTCGAGGGCGGCCTGTCGACGCTCTCAGGCGGCGTTCTGCGACATGTTCTCTTGTGACTCGGGTTCCGGACGCCCAGCATCGTTGCTGAAAGTCGGCATGGATAGTACGTGGACCCACGGCGGAGAAGACAATACCAATTCGGATCGTGCAGTGGGTGACATTGTGGCGTTATTTCCGCCGAAGTCTTCACCGGACGAGTTCGGCATTTGGTATCAATGGGTCTGACTTTTCCCATTACGAATTCTGACGTCGGACACCGTGCATGGCGGCTACAGAACACCCAATGTGAGGTTCTTATAGCCAGGCCGCACCCATCGCGCAGCGTCCCTGGGAACCGTCTTCCGCTAATCCATTCTCACTTTCCTTCGCGTAGCGTCATGGGACTCGACGCTCGTGGGAGTTTACTGCTAACGGACGTAGGGATCGCCACTCCACGTAAAAGCGTTCTATCAGCAGTCCGTCGCTCTATATCCGACCTGGTATAACTAACCCGGCATACTTCTTCATATAGCTCACAGTCTCTCCTCTGCTACTCATCGGACTCGCTAGGTTTTCATCTCTCCCAGATGGCGCAACTCCCGGTGCTTGTCGCGTCGGCATTCATCTTGCACTTGTTATGGCGGTTATTACGAAATTACTTTGTGAAATCCCCATTGGACGTGATACCAGGCCCTCCTTCTGGGTCAATCATCGGAGGTCCGTGCAATATCCGCTCACGCTTGACTACCAATATTGACGTTTTCGGACGGTTTCGCTAAGGGAACATGTTCCAATTGCTGGAACATAACAGCTGGGACTTCCACGATCACCTCATCCACACTTACGGGCCTGTAGCCAAAATCCATAGCTTCCTTGGTGTACGTAGGCGTCTTTTCGAGCATTCAAGTCATGACACGATTGTTAATTGACTCATACTTTGACAGGCGAAGTGGCTCCATGTTTACGATCCGAAGGCACTGCATAGCATCTACTTGAAGGACCAAGACAGCTACTATCGGGGCGAGCAGTCGGTCAGGTATGTTCCGTCCGTTGTTGCAGACTGAAGTTCGTTCATGTTCCTCTTCATAACAGTGGTGTACGTCTCACTCTAGGGCCGGGATTACTCGGAACTTCTGGTGCTCTGCACAAGAAGCAGCGCAAGATGCTCAACCCCGTCTTTTCCGGAGCACACATGCGCAACCTAACGCCGCTTTTTTATGATGTCGCTGGGAAGGTGAGACACTTGTCCGCGGAAAGCCTCGGGCTTTTGACGATATCGCACGTGTAGCTTCGAGTGGCCATCGAGACTCGCGTGAAGGAGGGTCCCCGGGACCTCGACGTCCTTGGGTGGATGGGTCGCACAGCACTTGAGCTTGTTGGTCAAGGAGGTCTGGGTTACTCCTTCGATCCTCTGACTGCCGAGTCTCGCGACGAGTTCACAGAAGCGGTTAAAGCATTCATGTACGTATCCCCTGCACATACATCTCCCTTGATTCAGGATGTGTACACCTCCTACAGCCCCGCTTTCGCCGACTATCCGTGGATTCGATTAATCACTCCATATCTCTCCTACTTCGGCCCAGCCTGGTTCCGTCGCCTCCTCCTCAATTGCTTCCCGATCAAGGGCATTCATCGTCTGAAGCATATCGTAGACACTATGCACAAGCGATCGGAGGAGATATATCATGCGAAGAAGACCGCGATTGAGAAGGGCGACACTGATTTGCTGAACGCGGTCGGGGAAGGCAAGGACGTCATGAGTGTTTTGCGTGAGTTTCTCTCCCATATAGTTCTTGATCCGATGACACGATGTTAACGGCCCTACATATAGTGAGAGAAAACATGAAGGCGTCTGCCGAGGACAGACTTCCGGATAAGGAAGTCCTCGCACAGATGGGGTGAGTACATCTAGGGCCGCTTCACAGCCTTGGCTCTCGTAACAATCTTGTCTTGCATTGTAGGACGTTCATCTTGGCCGGTGTCGATACCACTTCGAACGTCCTATCCAGAGTCTTGCACCTGCTTTCTCAGAACCAGGATGTTCAAGATAAGCTCCGTGTTGAGCTCCATGCTGCACAAGAGCAGTACGGCAGGGACATCCCTTACGATGAACTAGGCGCTTTGCCATACCTAGACGCTGTGTGTCGCGAGACACTCCGCCTGTGTGCATCCTGCCTTTCTCTAGGTATTGTGTTGCCTTTCTGACTTGGGTTCTACACGCAGGTGGGCCCCGGTGAATCTCTCCAATCGACAGTACGCATCTCTTCTTCCTTTCGCGACACTACCGTATTCATATCTCAGCTTTTACTTAGGGCAAAGGCCGACACCGTTCTCCCACTTTCTCAGCCTTTACGCTGTACTGACGGTACGGTCTTGACCGAGATACCCATTCCTAAAGGAACTATGTTCTTCCTCAACCTGCGTGCATGCAACACCTGGAAGGAACTGTGGGGCGAGGACGCCCAGGAGTGGAAGCCGGAGAGGTGGCTCAAGCCTCTGCCCAAGGCCGTGGAAGATGCCCATATTCCGGGCATCTACGCTCATCTGTGCGTGACATGGGGGATGTCGAGCTTACCGTGAAGCTGCACGCTGACTTCAGGCGTTTGGTAGGGTAACTTTCATCAGCGGTGGCCACTCTTGCATGTGCGTTCGAGTTCATATCCCGTCTCCTACTGCTCTGACATCACTTTGCATCATCGTTCACAGCGGCTTCAAGTTCTCTCAGCTGGAAATGAGTGAGTCTTCGCGTTCGACAAAGTTGTACGGTTTCCTGACCATTGTGTTCTTGCAGAGGTCGTCCTTTCCACGCTCGTGTCCAATTTCAAGTTTGAGCTCTCGGGCAAACCAATAATTTGGAATTTCGCGGGTATCGCATACCCGACTACCAGTCACGAATCGTCCAGGCCAGAGATGACCCTCAAGGTCAGCCTTGCGTCCCGGTGATGCCGAGTGCAAGCCTGCATCTAGTGATCCAGATGCGCCGTTTTCCTGTTGTATACCGCTTTACGAGTGATCATATAGCGAATGCACCAAGTATATCACCGCTGGGAATGCTGGATTAAATGGTCATTAGCGTGAATTTCTGCGTGGTCGGCTTTCTTGATATCTCAACAGCCGTGATCATCGCCATTGCAGCCCTTTTCGACTCCACAGACATTTTCGTTTGGTTACAGCACTCTCTTCTTGTCATTTTGTTGCTCTTGCCACACTTCATTTCCGGACAGCTTAGAAGAATGTAATACTCCGGAATACTCCATCATTATGACGGGCGACCACACCATCGGATGACCAGCCTAGAGAGAGCGAGTACCGCACAATCCGAAACATGCTATTGTACAACGGCGGGTATCTCAAAAAAGAGACTGACGAGAATTGATCAGACTGTTACACATCTTACAACGAGAAACGACAGATCCTCTCGACCCAGCTCGAGTCACAACCTACTAACGAGATCGGCTAGGAATGCCTCGTCGAACGCGACACATTGCATACGCCACACAAGCATCCGCTAGAGCAGCCATCAGTACGTAGCCTATGGACCGGGGTATGGCGACTCACCTCTTGCCCACTTTCGTACGCACTCATCACATACTCTACGGCGACTTCGCACTTGTCCCCCTTATCTTCGAGAGCGACAGCAATCTCCTCCGCTGTTGCCTTACGGTCGTGAGTGCGCCGCATCCTAATGCGAACGCGGATGCCTTTGTATTTCGACTTGGACGCGATGCTTCTAGCCCAATTCCTTCGGAGCTGTGCGATAGCTGTCAGCCGCCAGCGAATGACTCGAGGTTGGGGATGACGCTTACCGAGGGTAAGAGAGCCCTGTACTCTTCAGCCGACAGTGGCTCCCCGAGTGTCAGTCTATACTCCCCCATATACTTGTAATGCGAGCCCTTCAGCCCGACGAACACCGTCTGGACGTCGCCCTTCCACTCCATCTCCTCGTTCGCGCGCAGAAGCAAACCTTGCAGGCCGACGTCGGAGGGGAGCCGCGGATTCTGCTTGAGTGTCGGGAAGATGAAATTACGCCCGCTCGTCGTGACACACATCCGCATTGCGTTCCCGCCGTATAGCTCCGCCAGGCGGTGACGATTGACAGTCGCCCGTAGAAGGGTAGGGTCGGAAACTTGAACGTTGAAGCGGGTGAGGCCCACCAAGCGATCGTCGGAAGCCACGACGGGAGACGGGGGAGATAGAAGTAGGGTTACGCGTCGCAGGGGAGGGGGCTCCGGCGGACGCTGTTGTGTACCTGGGTCTGGCACAGAACGACTTGCAGGCGGCTGCCCACGAGGTGGTTCCGGAACATCCTCTTCAGTTCGCAGCGACAAAAGCTACGTGTGAAGGATCCTCACCTTATCGCTGATCGTGACTGGGCGCACTGGGCTCAGTGGTTTCGATGGGGCATTTTGCCTCCGTGAAGGGCGTTTGGGGGACGCAGTCGGACCAGAAAATGTCCGCCTCGATGGTACATAGGACGGATCTCTCCCATCGTCCACCTCAACCGGTGGGAAGGGCAGATCGAAGGATGGCTCCTGCAAAGCAGGGACATTGGTAGGCGGGATAAGAGACGGCCTATGCCTTCTAGTCGTGTACGTGACTTGCTTTTGAGGGCGAGGAGCAGGGCGGGGTCGGGAGCTTGAAGGAGAGTCACCGTTAGAAGAAAGACTAGTCAATGACGAGTCGGAGGAGAATCCCGATAGATCTTCAAGCTCTGGTGGCAGGGGTGATGAAGGGACATGTTTCTTCTCCGAAAGTCGAGCTGATGGAGTCATCGTGATCGAAGATCTACGTCTGGGAGGAACAGCAACGAAGTCGAATATCTCGAGCTTCTGTCTCTTGACCTCGGGCTGTTTTCCCTTGGCTTTTCTGGACGAGAGCATGAAGTTTGGCATGCTTTCAGGCTGAGGCGATGTTTTTCGCCTCTTGGAGAGGCCCTGCGGAAGGTGTGAAGAGGGTTTGCTCATCGTGCCACCTCCCGGAAACATACCGTTGTGCTCGGGTATACACTTTGTGAACCGTTTACGGTCACCCCTATGCTCTGGTCGCTGTTGGGGATGAAAAGAGGCTCATGTGAACTTCCAGCGGCAGATAGAGGAGGCGTGGTCAGCTTCGATTCGGCCTCGCGAACTGCCTGCGAGAGTCGCTATCTAGAAAGTAAGCATCAGCTGATAGAGGGAATTGAATAGCTGTACGTTACTGGGCCCTGCTGCAGGGGAGGCCAACTGTACTGCAGGAGCACAATTCTCCGCATTGATCGATACCGATCCCTCTGCCAACGAAATGTGCTGCTGCTCACGCTTCTGCTCCATGTAAGCGACCTTCGCCTTGAGCCCGACGTTGTCCTGTCGCAGTTTATGAATTTCGGCTGCCTGGGTTGCGAATTCGGCCTCATAGAGTTGTAGCTTGATCTTGAGCTCGCGAACCTCATCGCTGTGGTCGGCCATGTTGTCGGCTGTAGCAGTTCCAAGGGCATCCTCCCATTTCCTGGACTTGCCGTGTGAAGCCTTCCAACCGGAACTCGGTGGTACGGCCCGGTATTAGAACGCCGCCTAAGGCTGTGTGTACTTATCCTCCAATTGAACACTTTCCTCCCCATGCACCTGGCATACTAAGTGATTGAATGAACATTGAACTACTTGAGTGCAAGTGCAAGACGTCTCGAACTCCTAAGTAACCAGTGAATGTACACCAATCCCGGGCCTGTAGTACTCGGAGGGAAGCATCGGGATTTGCCTGCAAGGAGAGCATCGGCAACCTGTGCTCTTCAGCGTCTATCGGTCCCATCAACTTTATGCAGCGACTGGTCTGCTAACGCTTTCAAAGTCAAAGCGACCCCATATCACTGTCTTCATACTTCATTCATGGAGAAAGCCAACAACAGGCGAACTATTCCTCCATGCGGCTATCCCTCTACACACTCTGTGTTCGGCTTTCGCTATCGACACAATATCCTGTGCTGACGTCGGATCGGACGAGACTTCAGTAAGCTGCAGCCCGACAACAGTGTGCCTGGTGCTAATAATTCGGTCACAATAAAGAACACTCCCGGACTAACTCGGCAAACGACCGCGACAGGCGTAATGATAGGGCTATTTGGAGCATGACTACACTGTGCAAGAAGATATCATGGTAAACTACAGAAACTGAAAGGAATGACAAACGTCCAGAGACAGCGGTCGCTTCGTCTATGTTCAATCCTTTTTCTTTCTTCTATAAAGGTCTGTTTATAGGAGAAAAAAAGGATTGAACAAGAATCAGCTCATTTTCACACCATAGTGTGCCACGGTCACAGATAACAAACCGGCTAAGTAGCAAAAGGCCTGAGCGTGACAGTGGGAAGCAGGGCGTGAGTCCCTACGCCCTCTCACAACCGCTTGACCAGTTTTTTCAAGAAGCCCTCATCGAAACCTTCACACTGCATCCGCCAAACATGCATCCTCTAGTAGGCAGGAGAGTCGGCAAAAGAAACGTTTGAAGGTAGGTAATAAACTCGCCTCTTCACCGCTTTCGTATGCTCGCATGACGTCTTCAGCAGTCAGATCCCCTGTACGGGCGACCGTGTTCTCGCCAACTGCGGTCAGGACTTCTTGCGCAGTGGCTCCGCGCTTCTGGTCGCGCCTCGTCACGATGCGGATGCGGATGGCCTTGAAGTGCGCCTCAACCCGTACATAGTCCACCCACCTCTTCTTGATCTGTATCAGAAGCCGATTGCGCTTGTATCAAGCCATATCTCGTAGACCGAAGAGTTGGAGAGATTCACTCACCACCGGGGATAAGGTCTTGAACTCTTCCGATGATAGTGGCTCGGCCTGGGTCATCTTGTACTCACCGACGTACCGATACTTCGCCTGGTACAGCGCGACGAAGACTGTCTGGATGTCTCCCTCCCACTGTGCGGTCGGGTTCGCATGCAAGAATAGCCCAGGTTGGCCTGGGTTGCACGGGCGCCAGGGCTGGTACTCGTGCGTGGGATAGAAGAAGTTGCGGCCGTTCGACGACACGCACGTCCTAAGTGAGCACCCACCGAGGATCGTCGATAGCTGTAATCTGGTCGCCACCTTTAGCAAAGGCGTCTTGTCGGAGATTTGGACGTCGAGCGTGCGCATATCCCCCCATCGATCCACCGCGTCTGCTGTGATTCGAGAAGCAGACCTTGGTGAGGCAGTTACAGCTGAACCGGACTGACGACCGGGTGATGGAGACTTTTGTGACGAGAAGTAGTAGCAGACCGCGATAATTCCCTGATGAGTTGGCGTAATTCAAGTCGAGCGACGAGGAATGTACCATACCTTCTCCCTCATCTGCACGTCACTTCCTTGCGCACGATCTATGCCGCCTCGCTCCGCCGCACGGGATGAAGCAGGGCTATGAATGGTAGGAGAGGAATTCGTCAACCTCGATGGTCGTTTGCGAAGATTGTATGTCGTCACCCGAGACGGATTGGGCTCATCAAAGTACGACACGTCTCTGGAGCATGAGCGAAGGTGCACCTGTTCTTCGAGTTCGGAAGGAGGCGGCATGAGAGGCTGGACAACCTCTTCTGGCTCAAGCTTGACTGTCGCCATCCTCGACGACCCTGCCATATTTTGCCCGTAATCAGGAGGCGGAGTTCGAGCTTTCGAGAACGCCCTCCTCTTCGCCTGACTCAAAGACGGTATGAGCACATGGACCATGGACTTCTGTTTCTTGTGAGAGTTCCGTAGACTTGAATCATCCACGGACAATGGTTGCCTATCGTGCGATGGCTCTGGATCGGGCGCGATCTTGCGTTTCTTGGAATATGTCTTACGGCATGTCAGGCGCTAAGATCGAACGTGATGAAACGGAACTTACAACCGTAACGTTGTGCGCATGCGACTTCAAGGGCGAAGGCGAATTTGCAGAGTCCATGCGCTGGATCCTGTCTTCCAATGTGGAAGACCGAGCAACGCTGCCGCGATCGGACCACGGTGGCGTATCGAGAGCCAGCCCGCCTCTCATCGTAGTAGGCTACCGCACCCCACGATCACAACTCAGCAAGTCGTTCAACATCGTTCTCAATGCTGGGACTTACCTCGACAGAGCTGGATGTTGAGGAGCTTGCATTCTTAGCCCGTTCCTCCTCGAGACATTGCTGCAGGTACGCATTGGTAGCTTGTTGCTTGACGATCTCCCCCTGTAGCTTGCTGATCTGCACCGCCTGAGATTCATAGCCAGCCTCGTAGTGGCGTAAAGTAATTTCAAGCTTGCGGATATCATCCCCTGGGGTGGACGAGGAGAATGGTGTCAGCGACATCAGATGGGCCTTGATGGATGAGATGAGGTAAGGGAGGCCCTCGACGTCGGTCGACCGTGAGGGAGAAGCCGGCCTAAGCCGGCCCCGCCTTCTTACGGAAAGGGGGTTCTGTCGCATTGCCTCGTAGTGAACGGAGGTTTACGTACTAGTCGGGGGCTCGATTTAGACTGTAAACGGCTTCCTGAGGATGTCAGCTAAAGGCAGAGATCGCGCACGGCACGCGGTCACCCTAGAAGCAGGGTGCTTCAGCTGGCCCAGCACCAGAAGGCAGGTAAAACCAGTTCCGTCCTGGCCTACTCAAGGACAACTCGGGCTCCGTGGGATTTCATCAAGAGGCACAATGATTCGGGTCATGACTCGATTGCTGCAGTCCCGCCACTGACCGCCACCGCTTTGCCAGTCGCCGCAGCAAGGCGGGTTCCGTACTCTGCAACCTATAAGACCCCGGCTTTTCGTTCAGCACAATCGACTTGAACAATGCTCGACACTCACTTCGACGCCCAGCGGGATATGACGACAAAATTCTACCCTATTACACAACCAGCGCAACGTTGTGGGGGATTCACTGTTACGAAGCAGGACCCGACGCCACTTGCCGTAAATGTTACAAAGCAACCACCGACCACAGCGCGCGATGAGCGGATCGTCCCGCCTGCAGAGGCCGATTTTATAGAATCGGTGCTCCTCGACACCGACACCCGGCTCAACCTCTTCTTCAGCGACCTCGATCAGACATTGCTACCGTTGACGCGAACGGTGTACAAACAAGCGGTTGACTGTGGTCTATTGCATGCGACGAGAGACGTGTTCGGGCGGGTGGTCAAACTCGAGCACTCGCGCCCCGCGGGAGATGTTCCACTCTTGAATGGCGCCTTGGACGAGGAGATCAGCAAGATCATCGGTTCCTTCCCCTGCGGCGACATCTATATTGACTCGCGCGTTGACTGGAAGATACTGAACTCTGATGGACTGAACCTTGCGGAGAGGGGAGAGTCGGTGGCAACACCCCGTCCGATACGTCCCGGAAGCGAAGATGTTCCTGTCAACGTTCAATCGACTGGACAGGCACTAAGTCATCATTGGTGACGACGACAGGAGTGGAGCACTGAAGCACGAAATACGTGTGGTTGGTAAGAGTCTCATTGTGGTCTTATAGGGAAAGATTGTATCGCACTCACAGCTGTACACTGTAGGAGGGACGCACAAGTAGCGCTTGACGACAACTCCAACCACCTTGGCAACTACTTATCTCACAAGTTACGACACGGCATATATCATACAACCCTGTGTTCCTGCTTGCAGCTATCTTATGCGGTGGCTTGAATCTCCCAAGGCTTCTTCCGAACGTTCGCCTTGGATTCGCTTGGAGTATCGGACTGGAACAATTGTGGAACTGAACGTGAGCTAATACGGTGCATTGTGGACGATAGACAAGCTTACACTGAGGACGTTGGGTATGATCTTGTTGTTCGGTATCTCGTCTGTCCTGCCCTGCTCAATGAGCTCCTTAAGTTGTGCGAAAGTCAACGTCTGCTGTTCCTGATTCCCAGCTGGCAGTCGAAGTGGGATTGTTGAAGAATCAGAAGCTATGTTGGTCTCCTGATTCTGAAAATCTCTCCTGGCGATGCGAGCCTCGTCCAGGGTGATGGAGATGTCAGATATACTGCGGACGTTTTGAGTGAATGTGAGGCCCGTGGGTAGAGAGACGGACCAGCAAAGAGATTGCCACGAGAGTCGGAATTAAGCATATGGTACTAGGCCACGGACAGGGCCAAACCACTCAAAAAGGAATCGGGATGCCACGTCGTTGTAAGTGACCGACGTGAATCGCCACTACTCGATTCCAGATATCGTGCGAGGGGCAGAATGATCAAGCCGTTCACTCCCGGTGCCCCTTCTCTCAGAACGACATGCTCACCAAACCCTTCTCATCTTGTCTGATCGAAGCGAAGGAGCGACGCGGTGAACTATTCTGCAACTTAGCAACAGCGCAATGAGATGCGTGAACGTGTTCAGATGTACTCGGCCACCACTAGCGTAAAGATTCTTTGGGCGCCCCATTGCCTAAGCTCCAAGAAGTCGGTGACACTCACCGATTGAAGTAGAAGACTTCCGATCCAAGAATTATCTCTGCCTTTTCATCCTCTGATTTCCCTTCCAGTGCACCGCTGCTCACGATGCCAGCAAGACCTTGCTTCCATACACACGGGCGCGTGAGTGTGATCAGCGGGGAGCCCAAAAGGAGTAGGCGGCACCTGGTAGTCAGCGTCGTCGGCGAACGGATAGCTCTGAAAGCGCTCCAATGCGGCAATAGAAGGACTCGGAAAATTCTGTGAATCCATATGCGTTGCAGGGTGGCCAGGCGAGGTGAAATGAACGGCAGCGTTGCCGGCGGCGAGGATCTGATGGCAGATGGCGGTTTGGAACAAAGTGCAAGGCCGAACATGGGCGGCTTGAGGCAGTGTCAAGGAGCGCGGGGCGCCCTGAGCCGACGAGGCGGCCTTGCCTTCTTGAACTTCTGCCTACGTACCGCTCCCACCTGGCTCCCGCCCGGCTCTCAGCGTCCGCCGACAATGACACATCGAAGATGTCTTTTTCCGCCGGTCATAAGCACGACGGCAAACTGGTGACTTCTGTATCCTGATCAACCGAGCTCGACAGGCTATTGACCGCATAGTGACATTCCCAATTCGCCCTTTTGCGGAGAGGCGTCATCAGCAACTCATGCTTTTGTCTTGTATGGGTCTGAGTCTGCGTCAGAACCGAACCTCATCTGAGCAAGTACATTGCTCGGGATAGCATCCCCTAAGACTGTACTGAGGTAAGCGCGCGTCGGCACATCCCAAAATCTATTCATTGACACGGGGCGATACGCTCGAGATTAACGTTATGTAACATCGCGACGAGGGAAGACGTCGGGATCATCCATGACGTCTTCCCTCCGACGAGAAAATATATGTACGCCGTGGGTATTGGCTTGTCGCAGAGTCATTCCCCCTACTAGTACCATCAGTCACCATGAGCGACCCCGCCAATGCGTCCACCGTCAACGATGGGGCAAATCCTCTGTTAGCACTCGCTGGGTCCCTCCCTCGAGCCTTCGGCGCGGATCTCATTGGGACGTTCCTCGGACTTATGTAGGTACTTTTCTTGCCTTGGGTCTCTGCGCCTGCTGATCACTGTGCTCTGCAAGACTGTATGGTTTGGCTGCGCATCAGCTGTACCGTTATTGTCGTCTCTTCCCTACGGATGCATTGTTCATTAGGACACTGGTGAGTGCTTGTAATATTGATCCACGCTGCTCCATATCTCATGTCGAGATACGTGAAGGTGGCGCTTGTCATGTAAGAATCGGTGGCGTGATACCAGGAACGAGGCGCAGCTTACCGCAAATGCTTCAGGACTTTTGAGACAGTCCACGTCATCCTGACAATGCATTTCTGGTGGGTCCCGACTGGCGTCTTATCATGATATCGTTGCTGACCTCCCTGGAAGCTATTACTTGCTGGTCACGAATTACTTCAAACCTTCAGCACTGTCAAGCGGAGTATGGTAAGAAGTATCTACCGAACTCCTATATCCCTAGGCTAAACGATCACTTTACTAGGTCACTGAGCGTGAGTCAGCAATCAGACGTTATCTTTCAAGAAAATATCTCCTCACGGGATACGAATCCTTTCACCTCTAGGCCCTTCCTATCGTGATTGTGAGTATCACTAATTGGCGCGGGTGGGATGGCAGTGCTTACTACTTGATAGAGCGCCATCGTACTGTCGTCGCAGCTGTAAGCCGTTCTGTGTCGCGAACCATACGTGGAGGCTCACGCCGCTTGGTTAGGTTCTTTGCTCGGCGAGCATATCTTAGTAAGACTCATCACATACCTTCACCAGCAAAGTGGTCTCACAAAGTGCAGCTGGCCCGAAGTTCCGCCCGTTCGTTGTCGTTGCGGTGGGTATTCGTCACAACGGCTTATAATGACTTGCTTATCTGCTTATCTTCGGTTCAAGACTCTGCTTATCATGGGGGAGATTGGTGCGTACAATCATGACGTCTGATGAGGCTCACTGGTGCTACAACGTTAAGCTCCTTGTACACTCTGTAGCATTCTCCGTCGGTAGGTCGCGCTTCGAATGCTTGATTGCTCGCAATATTCTGAACGACCTGCCTACAGTGACTACTGTCAAGGCGCAAGTAGACACCAACCTCGAAGATCTTCATGTCAGCTGACGACGACTTCCAGGTTCTCTCACAATATCGACGATCTTGCTCAGGAGAAAGTGAGCGTCGTCTGCAGCCGTATTCTGGCATTTAGATCTGATGGGCCTTCACAAGTGGCTGATTTCGGTCACACTGGGCATGCCACTTGCCGCGGATATTCTGTTCACTATCACGCTTCTTGTCGTACTTCGTCTCAGCCGGACGGAAACCCAGCGGTCAGTATCAGCTGATGGGCCGTACATTCCAACCTCATAAGAGTTTACAGGAACGAGTCTCCATTCGACCTGTTTACGCTATACATCGTGAATACTGGTGCGTACGCTCTCCCGGTGACATACCCTTGATACGCTTACCTGTATCCCGTAGGTGTTTTGCACTGGTAAGCGGCTTTCCAGCAACTGGCGACATTATTCGAGATTTTTCTACGCCTGCGCAGTATCTGCAACGTTGCCGCACTGGTCACGGTATGTATCTGTCCCTGTATTGTTCTTAGTGGCTTCTAAGCTTCAGATGTAGAACCTTGTGACCATTCATGGCACGTCGACGACCTTCCTCGCGTTCAATATTGTTGCTGCACGCCGTACGTTGCTTGTTACATGAACACGTCTATATGGAGACTAACTGGCCTACTTCCCGCCGCAGTCTACGCCAACTCGCTGCTATCCGCGCAAGTGTCAACGACACTTTGGCGTGGGGATGACTCTTACTGATCTTCGTTTCCATTCTTTGCTGACAGGCTCAACTCACGAGACAAAAAACGAGGGAACATCACCTTCGACGGATCAGTCGGCCTCAACTTCATCGACCGCGCTACCCGCCGCGCTGCCGCCGAGACATGGAACGTGCCGCAGGTCAGTTCCAGTCACCACTCATTCTCCTGCCTTCATGCCTTCCTGATGTCGTGAGAGTGTCATGGACGCTGACCTCGCTCCGCTCCGTCGCATTCCGCCAGAGTCCCGAGAGGCCGCCTTCGATGATCAACATCAAGATGACGACCGAGCTCGAGACCGACCAGGAGAGTCAATGGGACCAGCAGACGCTCGAAGGCCTTAACACCGCGGACAGCAACAAGAAGATGCGCCGCGTCCTCTCCGTATGATGCACGTGCCCTCTTCCGTACCCAGCTCTAGCGCCATGCTTCGGTGCAAGCTCGTTGCACCACCACCACTGCCGTCACTGCGGCGCTTTCATTGCCCATCTGCCCTGGAACTGGCCGAGATGCGCCGGGGCGTTCAATCGTTTCGAAGATGTACTCTGCGAGCCACGATGCTCTGTACTACTAATACATCCACATTCATTTGCAATCGAGCGCAGATCGTATGGATGTCTCCCACCGTGAAGGGCTGCTCCGGTGACTTCATGTCAATGTCATTGTTGGCGCACTGTCGTGTCGTCCGTATGTTGCTATACGTACTAGAAGATATCTTCGGCTTATGGGGACTCGAACGCCGGAAGGGTGATGGAAGCTATCAAATGAGCCCTTGATCGTCCCGAAAGAAGGGTCATATGTATAATGTCCTTCACTGACCTTCAGCGACACGTAGTATGAGAATTATGGTACACAAGACACTGTAAGTCCTCAACTCGAAGGCTGTGGTACTGGCTGTGGAGAGTACCACAAACGATTACGACGATATCGTAATGCATATGCGCGGCTTGGTCCGGGGCCTGACGGATCAGATGTTCTGTTCGCGTTGCCATAGACCGAGGGTACAATCCACCAACTGGAAATGTTCGGGCTCTCTAAATCCACCCAAATGTAAGCGACTCGGATCTGATTATTGGGCATGAACTCACGAGAGGATGCTTTCAGTGGACTTTGAGTCGAGTGCAGTAAGTCTACCCTTTTCGTCCAGGGGAGGCTCAATCTTGAAGACGTGCAAGGCCGAGACCGCCGTACCCCATACGGCTGGTTCGCCGAAATTCCATTTTGGACAAGCTCTGCAGACGATGATTAAATGACCGGCTGCCCTAGGAGTGCATAGTCGTCATCAGAGCTCTTAAGCAAGTTCTTCAGCAAGAGCCCTCGCCTGTTTCTCCTAGAAAGGCTCAGTCCTGGAATTCGCATGTGAGCTGAAGATCCGATGGAATGTCCTTCTCCGCGCCAGCGGAGACCATGAGGTAGAAGAAACCGAGGCCAGATCATACTAATTCTCTAAGCCCTTAGATGGTCAGATATTGCGAACCTTCCGATGTTTATTCACTCACAATTACGCCGTAGACAAAGGTAACCGGCAAGAACAGACGGACAACGGTTTGTCCTTGAGGACGAGCACTAGAGCAACACCAAACATCAAGGGACGTACTATATCTGGGCAAGAAATAACAAGGAGTGGGCGGTCAATAGCCTTCGCAACATCTTTGACATTCCAACCCAGTGGCTACGGCCTCAGCCCTGGAGGGAGACGAGGACCGTCGTGTCAAATCGGTGCAGTTTCGACGCACGAGTATGAAACGAAGTCCTAGAAGGGAAGAAGAGCGTGTCCTGTAGAGGATGCATGATGGTGAGTATGCTAACCATATCGGAGCGTAACACTCCGATTTCTACGCTCAGACTCTGCGGAAGATTGATGGCAAGGAAGAGGGACCTTTGTCCTCGAAGGTGAGCCTCATGATGCTTGTGACGGCAAACAACAAGCTAGTATAGGATCGTGTGGCAACGGCTCGAGAAGACGTGGAGCCAAATCGAATGGGACACTGTCAGGTGACACGTCTAGTACACACTCAGAATCGACCAACCCTAAAACCTTATCCGCTGCTACTCTTGTTCCAGCTGTGATTGGTGAGCAGATCAGGCCTAAGGCCTAAGGATCGACGTGGCGCTCCTCCCGACGACTGCGAGAATCAGGTGCTACTGGCTCACCTCGACATCACCGGCCGATAGTATCAAGAGGTCCAGCGAAAGGATGATACGGAGCTACGGAGCATGATACTTTGATAGCTTTAAGAGTCAATCCCGGAGCCGGATAGTCTCGTGACCAGACGTTCGGAGCTCCAAGCGGGAACGAAAAATCGGAGGTTCGAGTCCCCGGATACGCCCGATTTTTTCGTATCCGCTTCTACATTGCGGCATTTCCCATACTGATCCCCGTACTGCTACGTCGCCTATGTGCGACAAACAAGGGTATTCGTGGTACTTCGCACTATGTACTGCTTGACCATATATAGAAGCGAAGTACGAGCTACGAATGGTAGCGTCGATACTCCTGCCACTCATGAGTACAAAGCATCAGTAACTTGAACGTAAGCTCCGAAGTTGCCTCGGAACCTCGACCTAAGTCATGACGTCCGCAACCTTGGGACTACACGCCCGGAGATACCCCAATCATACTCGCTGTGCGCGGATGTGTGAACCTGTCCCAGGTAGAATTGGAAGGGTATCGATCTGGGTAGTATTACGGGCGAGGCTGTATACATGGCACTAATGAGCTTAATTACGCTCTCTTGGTACGAAGCCCATCCATATCGCCACAGCTCGCCTTGATGAGGGCTTCGGCCTCCTCCGAGCGCGGCTTGATTACGCATTCAAATGGTTCGGGGTACCTGCGGCACCAAGTTGAGCTCAGTACGTGCACGTGGAGTGCATGTCACACTTACGACAGGAGACCGTATGTCATCTTACCCGAGGGAGGGACGGGCTTACCATCCTTGCCGAGGGGTGCAGTGATGGAAAGCGTGTGCAGGACGGTGGCGGCGATCATGAATAGTGAAGATGCCGCGTAGTGTCTTCCTGGGCAGATCCTGAGAAAATCCAAACAGAGGTTCATCGGAGGCAACAACTCGATATGGTGAATCAATATACCTTCGCCCGTAGCCGAACGAGAACGTGGCAGGGTCGCGCACATCCGGGTTTAATTCCCCGCCCTTGAGGAAACGTTCCGGCAAGAATACATCCGGATTAGGATATACATTCGGGTCACGCGCAATAGCCCTGGCATGAAGGCGATGCAAATCAGCTAGAGAGCTCTTGACGAGCAACGATCCGGCGGAACTCACCAGATGTTAGCAATCACCATGGAACCCTTCGGTATGAGGTACCCGCGGTAGTCGTCGTCCTCCAGGCTCCGGTGAGGAACCGCCAGAGGGACGACAACGCGCCAACGGAGCAGCTCCTTGACGAGCGCGCAGACGTACGGCAGCGACTTCATGTCGTCGAACTCGGGCAAGCGATGTGGCCCTACAACCACGTCGAGCTCGGCTTGCGCTTTCTGGAGCACCTCTGGATGGGAAGCCATCGCAAGGAAGAAGCTTTGGACCGTAGATAATGTCTAGACTGCCTATCAATACCGAAGTCACTGGGCGCTTGGACACTGGCTCTTACAGTATCCGCGCCACCTGATCTCTCATGTCAGTCCACCATCCAATAGCCTCCCGGCAGAGAAGGGCACTTACCGGCATACGCCGTCGCGGTGGCGCCACGGTAAATATCTTCCTCTTCAGAGATTTGGTCATTCTGGCCATGCGATTGGGGGACGTTGGCCATCAGTCCCGAAGCCATGCACGGACGCGCCGTGCCCTCTCTCTGCACTCCAAGTCCTATATGAGACCGCCAAAAGACATTGTCAACATTGTCAAAGATGAGACATACCATTGCAGCCATGACGAGCTTCCAGGGCTGCTCAACTAGCTTCCACACGATCGGTCTCCACCTCTCTCCGTCGCACTTAACCGTCGCACCAGGCATCCACGAAGGGAGATGCCGAAGAGCTGGCAGCGTCTCCATGAGATACTTACCCGGTTGAAGGGCCTCCGAAAAGATCGTCATGGTGTCCTCGGCCATCTGCAGGTAATCGATAGGCTCGTCATCGACTTCAATGCCGTACGCGATGCGCATGATTGAGGAGCCGAATAGGCTGCGATCTTGCATTAGCGGGGTCGTTATGACAGCGAAACTTCTGAAAGGGTTCAAGAGTGGCGGAGGACTTACTGCCTGATGTGGTGGACGAACTCCTCCGGCTGCTTAATGAGCCGCATGACGAGACGGTGAGCCTCGCGGCGCTGGTCGGCGGCGTAGTTCTGCACGGCCGTTTGGTTGAAGTACTGGTGGAAGGCGCGCCTCCCACGACGCCAAAAAGGGCCATACTCCCGCACGGTGAAAGCCCACCTGAACCCAGAACTGGAGAATAGGAAACGGTGTGAGCGAGCGGAATGTGCGGACGTGTCAAAGAAAAGCTTACATGTCAACCATCGGCGAGGGAGGTCTGTCCGAGTAGTTCGAGGACCGCTTCTCCAGGAGGTCGGACGCAGCTTCATGTGACCCGAGAACGATTATAGGCTGACCAAAGGCGTCTAGGTGCATGACGTCGCCTTCGAAACCCGTCAGCTCGCCACGATCTACTGGAGAACACGGTTACACTCACCATATTGTGAACTCAAGTCGCGGAAGCCGGCAGGCCCGTCTCTTGGCACATGCAGCGCACTACCAATGATCGGGAGCGTCGGTGGGCCAGGCGGTAGCGGCAGATGAGATCGTCTCCTCGACCTTTGGACCAAAGTCCACAGGATGGGGCCCACGAAGAGAAATATCAGAGCCGATTGGAGTGGCATTGGGGATTGCTCAGTCGGTACCCAATCGTGGGGGCCTTATGTACTAGAAGCGAGCCTATTTGCGGGGTCCTACGGTACCGTGGCCTCGTGGTGATGAAATCGGGCTCGTATACACCGTTATTTGTCGGGAAGTCGGGAGTGTGAAACGCCGAACAAACCCCATGCCTTGCCATGACCCAACCATTCCAATGTATGGCCCTGGCGGGTACTGGTAGTCGCAGGTTCGCTTGCTGTTTGGAGAGTGCCCTTGGTATGGTCACGTTGACATGGATGGGAGTACTGATGAAACTCCAGGTATATGTCCTACAGTTCAAATGTTGAGATAACACTGCATCACGGAGACTTGGGGGAGCGAACAGACACTTACAGCAGGCGATTCCGGACGTTCGGAAACCGGCAAGATAACCCCGGATGCAGAACCATACTTCGCTGATCCGCCAGTCCTAATAAGCGGGGAAAGGGCGGATGAGATGGTGATAGAGCTCACCTAAGGAACACAGATTGAAGGGAAGTCGTCGGAATACCCACGTCCAGGCTGCCTCATGCCGATGTCAATGGGAAGGCACAACGCGTGGACTCGGATTCACCACGCAACCGCTACCCGTGTACCTGTGCGTGATTGGTCCAAAAAACCTTCTGTTCCCGGTGAGAAAAGAACAACGGGAATCATCCGTCAGTATCGGAAATCCGAGACCCTCAGTAGCTTGGGTCGGCGAGCTCCTTGACGTGGCCCGTACAAACGGCATCATTAGTACAACAATAGAACCGGGACTTCCGGTACGCATACTGTAAAGTTCTTGGGATAGATGATAAGCGTTTCAATGGAGCCAAACCTCTAGCTACTAACGACGTCCCGAACGATCACTTGAAAAATGTACTCACATCGCTGTGTACTAAGAGTGGCAGTTTCCCTGAGCGCATAACAGCCCGGTAATGTGCACATACTGTACCCGCCGGTGACTCAGAGCACGAACGCTCATCTATCCAGCATTTTGGGGTCACAACTATGGTGGTCAGGTTACACCAATTTGCGCATATGGTGGGGGAGAGCGGCTCTAGACAGTCAAGAACGGATAGATGCAAAATATGCGGTGGATAGTCACATTGCAGGAGTCTGTTGGGAAATGGGTGACTGTTACATACTGAGGTCAAGCCGGAAAAGTATGTGGACGAGTGTTTGATGGAACTTGTGAAAACATATCACGGGCGTCTAAATGCCAGACTTGACCTCGGCAGCGCCATTGCGGCTCACCTCATTCAGCGTCCTCGCTCGACGGCCGCTGACGTCCTTCTGTCTTTACCTCAATACTGCGTCCAAAATTGCTTTGTGAGCTTGCCCCCGATAATGTCATCAGCCCAGTCAAAGATCCAAACCGATTCCTGGGGCTCACCAGCAGTACGTGCGCCACCGCATTTGAGCCGACATCGTTCGTGACTCTCGCAGGCGACATCAATCCAAGGGCGTGTGAATCCTGCATCAGATCACATAAGAGATGACTGGGACGATGACCAAGATGAGCTAGGAGAGGTGGAAGATCCACAGAAGGTCTGGGAGGAAGCGTAAGTACCTGGAGATATCTCGCTGTGACCATGATCTTGAACAGCCTACCCAACTACCGCCTTGTCTTCGTGTTCTTCCCAACAGAAATAAACGCGCCAGGATGCCGGAGCTCGTCATAGCGGGATCCAGTACAAGTGGGCCTTCAGTCACGTCTCCGCCACCTGCGGCCTTTCAACCAGTCCTCCGCATACTCAAACGACCCATCGCGACTCCATCCCCTTCATCTCCTCCGTCCTCAGTTTCCGCTTCGAGCAGCCCCTCGTCAAACGCTCCCTCGGGTACCTACGCGGAGCGCGAAGCACGTTATCAGGCCGCGCGCGATCGCATCTTCGGGGACAGCAGTCCGTCCTCAGATACGCCGGGCGAATCAGGCTTGCAACCGCCTCAGGCCCTCAAGAAGAGCCCACCACCTGTTGAGATCACTCGAGAACCCAAAGGTCTACCGATTACACAGGCAGGAGCGGATGGGAGAGGGCAGGGTGGTGATATCAGAGGGTTCGGCAGCAGGCGAGGGAAACGGAAAGGAGCTGGACAACCCTAGGTGCGCCTGCTCCTCGCGTCCTCGGGAGCACTGTAGGCTAGCCATGACAATGTACTACTGACCATCGGTGTAGAGTCTTCCCTCTGTGTCTTCAGCTGGACGGAAGATACCACCTAAACAGGCCCGTGAGTACTTCCTCCATATCGGGCATAAGAATGATCATTGGCCGCCTTTCAGTGGATGGCGCGTGCGCGTGGACGGCTCGTAACAACGATAGCAGTCTCCCGACTACTCGCAGGATGCTCCACTCTGGACATGTCCATCGATGCCCTCCCTGCCACCCGTCGCTAATATGCCCTTCGTCTTCCCTTCCGGCTTATAAATCTGTGTATGTGGGAGACTTCCCGTCGCACCCGTCACCAACCTCTGAAGTTTCCGGAGCTGCGCTCCTTATTCCTGTTGTGTATCGTCAAACCTGCGCGTCGTCATCGGTATATGGGCTTGCTCGGGTGACGGCCGAGGGTAGGCGTGGAGGGCAATATCTTGTCAATGGTCTTGATATTGCCTTCTCCGGCTTCGACTCATGGGATGCTATGCACATGGGCAGACTGTAACCTGTATCAGCGAACATGCTGAATACACGGAGGCTACCCAGACGCGGCCACGGAGCGGTCACCTCTTGTCAACGCTAGCTGTAAACGCCAGCGCTACAGTGCCCGCCAGGGCCGGGCATGTTACGTATATGTGCGATAACTTCGGTATCTTTTGCTTCCTACAAGGAGCAGCAGCATTGTGGCAGCCGAATGAGGCTAGCTCGACAGAGTCTCACTCCCATGTAATATCCCACCCTCTTTCCATCGATTAGGATGCGCGTCGGATCCTGACGGAGGAGAGCTGCTTGCCGAAGTTCCGTCACGTTGGTATTCCCGCACAGGTGTCACCAAGCTCCTTGTTCCTGTGCTGTACGCTTCCCTGCTATTGTCTCGAAAATTGTCGAATGCATGATCTCTGCTTCCTCTTATGGATCATCTTGACCCACACGAGCCGATGCGGCTCACGATGCTGCCAGATTCGGACTCAAACTTCCACCAGATCCAGCCCGGAACCAATGCCACGCCACCTCTCTCTTTAGACCTTGCACCGTCGCCGTCCACTCATTTCTCCGGCTTCAGGACCGCTTGGCCGCGTTTCCTGCATTTATTTTTCCTCTACAGGATCATCACACAGGCCGTCGGGTGACCTTATTCCTTGATGGTCTCGCAGCTCACGTGAGGAAGTTTGGAAAGAGTGCAGGAAGCCTGTAGGACTCACGAGGTGGTGACCAGTTCCGACAACGAACGACGGCTACACACGCGAACTTTCTTCCATAGACACGACCCGATGGGTTGCAGAGATGCTCTGGTCTCTGCATGGCTAGTACCAAATTCCCGGACTTCGCGTCGTCATTCGCGTAACGGACCTTTCCCTACCAGTCATTAGCAACGCCTTCGATGTGTCCTCACGAATTTGGTGACAATCGTCTACGCGATGAACGACAGGTACGGTATGTCACTACGGCCGTATTTCTCGTGTCACGTCTGGTGTGTCTGACTTATGACCGAGGGGCATTGTGCACCTTGACGCACCAGAGGCCCTAATGAGGATGGTGGCACGCACGAACCAGCAATCGACTTCTCCAAACGGGTTCCAACTGTCCATCCAGTGCGTCGCATGTATTCGTTTCACTAAGCGCCATCTCTGCGTCCGTTTGAACGAAATGACAGCGGCAGCATCGATATGCCCACTATATGCCGTGACAACTCATGCATCCGCGGGCGATGATCGGGCTCTGCGATCGTAGTGCCATCATGCAAAGACAATCGCAGAAGCAGGAGGCACTTCGACGGCACATGGTCGACACAATTAGCTTTGTCTAAAACATCCGTAAGTGTGGTCGCTAAATCGATCATCGATCCCTTCGTACTTTGTCCTCGCGAAATTGACTTGAAGCGGGAATGTCCTTCGTAGGTGACGGTATTGATGCAGCGCGTTGCCTAGATGAATCCCGAAGAAGCTCGCAAGGAGGAAGAAGTGGTCCGCAGCCTAACAGGCGATGGTTCCGAGTCGTAACAGCAGTCTGTCTCGGTCCAATCAATAGGTTGTGACGTCATGACGCGGATACGGTAAGTGCAATCCAGGCCTGTCTGTGGTTTCATTTCGTCTAATCTCCGTCGGGTACCAGACGCTATCCACGATTCGGACTACCTTCTCGGCTACGACATCCATCATCTCCAAAAGCTCAGAAGAAGGTCCACCCCGAACTTGAACGGTAGTCACGAGATCAAGCCGATATCTCCTTTTCCAAAATCATATTGGCTGCGCGGTTATGTCTTAGCTGTGTGCGCCCGTTGTACCTCTTGTGAGTATCGCACATGTCTTTCCAAGATGACCAATATGAGGGGTACCTAATTCCAATGGGCTACACTTTCGAGCTACACTTTATCACGAACATGTGGTATATCAGATCTTGGATTTAGCCCTTGTCGGGAATTCCTGCAGGGCTTGTGCAGATGATCCGCGCGTAGATGACAACCCAGAAACGTTCACAGCTAAACCGGTTTCTCAGGATGACCGCCTGGAACTCAATCACCCCGATTCTGCGACACCTGCGTTCGGATATTGGATTTAGTAAGGTCATTTCCGTACGAGCTCTGCCGATGTCTTTCGTGTCCAGACAGATGTAAAGACTGACTCTACTGTTACAGAAAGGCATTTGCCACGGCGCCATTGTACTGAGGGGCCGCTTATTTTTGCTGTGACATGCTTCGACCGGCCAGCCGGTGGAGTGGACAACCTCACGCACCTAGAACTCCAGAAGACGCAAAGTATCCTTCCGTGAGTCATCTGAAACAGTAGAAGTCTGACATCTATGAAGACAGGTACGAGACTAGCTTGTGTGCGCGAGTGCATTCCGAGTCCCTCTGGAGCTAAGCAAGGGTATCGCGATAAATGGCTTGAATGACACAAAGTTCGAACGCAATGTGCTTGCTCGAGCTTCCTTAGTAAGCCAAGGCCTTAAGGTTTGCGGCTCCAGTATCGTAGGATTGCATCTGACCCTTCACCGTCCCGTATTGAAGGAGCAACTTCCTAAACAGGATACAACGCTGGGGCCCCTGGCACCTGAAACATTCCGATGCTCCGAATGGCGTGGAACGCACCTTTGCCTAGATCCAATGGCAGAAGCAGCCCGCTGATGGGGTGCCAAGCGCCTCACAATTCGAGACTGGAATGCTACTCGAGATCTCACCGGCTCCCCCATGCATCGGGAAAGACGTATACCCGCTTGGCCTCACATGTCCTTCGCCTTCTTCTTTCAGTGTACGCTGGAGAATCATAGACGCCACTCGTGCCTAGCCTCGTATATAAGCCCCTCGGTTGATGGTTACCTCTATAGCCCTATATGAGAACCATGAGCTTCACGGCTTCCTGGCTCTACATGGCTACTTTCGTCTCTCATCCAGAGTTCAAGATGGCTGCGCACCAGCCAGTCTGGGCTTTGCTTATCCTCTCATTCCTCTTTATCGTTTTCAGTTCCATCTTCCAAACCAAATGGGGGCGAAAATCTCTTCCCTTTCCTCCTGGTCCCAGACCCCTCCCCCTCATTGGAAATGCCGCTGATGTACCTACAACGATGATGGGCCAGCGATTCAAGGAGATGAATGACAAGTACGGTATGTCCAGCGTCGGATTGTCCATCGCTCCTCACATGGCACTCACTATATCCCGTCTGGTCGGTTTTTCAGGTGATGTCGTTTATCTCTACGCCTTCGGTCAACCGATGATCATCATTGGCTCCCATGAAGCGGCATCCGAGCTTCTGGATAAGCGTTCCGCAATCTATTCTGACAGACAGCCATCGGCAATGAGGGAACTGTGAGTGACATGTGCTCATCTGCATATCCACTCGAAACCGTTGCTACCTGCTCACTCCTTGTTCGTTCAGTGCTGGATGGGAGTGGACGTTCGTGCTCATGCCCTATGGTCTGCCTTGGCGCCGCAGAAGGAAGGAGATGCATCAATTCTTCAATCCAACTGCCGTCTCCCAGTATCAGCCTTTGCAACAGCGCGAAGCCCTGAACTTTCTCAAGAAGCTTCTCGAAAAACCAGATACCTTCCTCTATCAAGTCCGCCAGTGCGTACCTCTACTGCTTACTTCTTTGGCTCTATTGTGACTTCACTAGCGATGTTGGCTCAACCTTCGCTTTTGCTGCGTATAGTTCCTTCGCGTCAACCAGCATGCGCATCTCCTATGGTATCGAAGTAGTCGATGAGCAGGACCCGTACGTGGCAGCTGTCGAGAGAGGCGTAGCATCATTCAACGAGGCATTCGTCCCTGGGGCATTCCTTGTGGAGACCTTTCCGGTCCTCAAGAAACTCCCCGATTGGTTTCCCGGTGCAGGTTTCAAGCGCACTGCCGCGGCCTGGAAGAAGATTGCGCACAACATGCGTGACGCTCCTTTTGAGAAGATGATGAAATCTTGGGTATGGCAACTGGGCATTCGTCCATGCAATCGGAGTGCTCACACGCGCATAACAGATGACGGGGGAAGCAGAATCGTCCATTGCGACCACGCTGATGCAGACTGCCCTGGATAAGACTGACATAGACATTGCAGAACAACAGATGGTTGCTCGGGACGTATCCGCCGTTGTGTATGCCGGTGTGTCCCGATTCTTCCTTTCCAATTAGTGTTGTTCCAAGTTTACGTGTCGTCCTCTAGCCGGTGCTGATACGGTAAGCTTCGCTGACCTTTGATTTGACCCGACGACAGTTGATGTTGCCTATAGACGATGTCGACTGTTCAAATATTCTTCATGGCGATGGCATGCTACCCAGAAGTCCAAGTAAAAGCCCGTGCCGAGCTCGACGCCGTCGTCGGGTCTGACCGCCTTCCTACCTTCGAGGACCACAAGTCGCTTCCCTACATCACTGCTATTGCGAAGGAGTCCATGCGATGGCAATCTGTGGTCCCACTCGGCATTCCTCATCGTTCGCTTGAGGATGACGAGTTCAGGGGCTACTTCATCCCCAAGGGGTCCGCCGTCATTGCAAACTTATATGCATTCTCGCGCGACGAACGTGTCTATCCAAATCCAGAGTCCTTCAATCCAGAACGCTTTCTCAAAAACGGCAAGATCAATACGGAGGTCAGAGACCCCAACACGTTCGTATTTGGATATGGACGTAGGTATGTGCATTAGCATATCGTCCGCTGGACCCTTGTCCTTCATCGGCAGTATGCTGACAAGACTCGACCGATAGGATCTGTCCTGGGAGGCACTTCGCGGAGGCTTCTCTCTTTATCATGATAGCATCGGTCCTCCATACGCTTACCATCGACCAAGCGGTGGATCAACACGGGGAATCCATCGCTCCGGAGGCGAAGATGACCTACGGAGTGTTATCGTGAGTCACCTCCACACCCGTAACCCGACTTTTCTGGGCTGACAAGTTCGGGCACTACTGCAGGTATCCCGTGCCCTTCCCTTGCAGTATCAAGCCCCGCTCTGCCGATCATGCAGCTCTGATCCACACTAGCCTCGCTCACTCTGATTGAATTATAAATTGCGAGCAAGGTCTCCTGTCAGGTTATATCATACAGTCCTTACTTGTAGGTATTGACTAAGTGCAACAACCCGTTGCTTCGTCGTCACTATCAAGGCACTTGCTCTTAACATTCTGTGAGCTTCCCCGGGATAATGCTAGGGAACGTAAACATGGTCCCCTGAGATGCAGAGACGAAACGGACGACAACGAAGCGCAGTGAGCTTATTGGCTGAGAAGTCATGGTGCCCTCGCTTTGAAGTTTGAACGCTCTATATAGTTGACATTCGGTATCCGAGCCGCCAGTCTCCTAGCTCAGTCGGAGCATGAAGACCGAATCAGAGCTTCCGTAGACGTAGAGCGAGGCGTGATAACGCAATCAAATGCTTCTGGGTACCTGAGTCGCTGGTTGGTTAGTACGAATGCACTCCTGACACAGGTGACCGGAGAAGGCTTACGATACTACGCCGTTCGTCATCTTCACCTCCAACTGTAATGGTCTTCTTTCTTTGTCCAAAGGGGGACGGATGTTGAACACATGAAGAACAGACGAGAGGATCATGAAAAGAGACGCCTCTGCGAAGTGTCGTCCAGGGCAGATCCTATACGACGGAGTTAGCGCGATCAACCAGATCTTTTGCAGCTGGCATCACCTCCGTCCATATCCGAAGACAAAATGAGATGGGTTAAGAACAGTGCTGTCCAGCTTTCTCTCCTCCGTCAAGAACCGCTCGGGTCTGAACGCTTCTGGATCAGGGTAGTATCGTTCGTCACGAGAGTATGACCTGCTTTGTACGGTGGTGAGTCATCTGTGCCCGGTATGCTAAGGGGAAACTACGCACCAGATATTAGACAGGACAATGGAACCCTTGGGAATTCGGTAGCCCATGTACACATCTTCTTCTATTGAAAAATGAGGCACAGCAAGAGGGACGACCGAACGCCACCGCATGCACTCCTTCACAATCGCCATGACGTACGGAAGGTCCTCCTTATCGGCCAGTGTCGGGAGCCGATCTGAGCCAATAACACGGCTGAGCTCTTTCTGTGCGCACTTCTGTGCCTCTGGGTGAGACGCCATCGCAGCAAGGAACGTGCTCAGAGTTGAGAGCGTCTGAGTGGACGCATTGTTAGTGGCGCCATGAGAATGAGACACTTCAAAATCCATACAGTGTCTGCCCCAGCGATGTAGGCAGCCGCAGCCGCACGCTTGGCGGTGTCCATTTCGTCTTTATTCTTGTCCTCAACGCGATCCAGCAGAATGCTTGCGATGGACTCATGTGCATGACCGCCACGCTGCGACCACAAGTACCGTGTGATCAGTATGGATTGGATCTGTGAACGATGTGGTAAAAGGAGCACCTCGATGTTCGTAATTGCTTCCCATGGAGCGTCTCGCAATTCCTCTACAACGGGGATCCAGCGAGCAAAGTCGCGCTTGAACTTGACGCCGGGAAACCAAGAGGGTATATGACGCAGGCTCGGAATCGTCTGTACCAAGTACATCAGGAAAACGTCACGGACTTGTACAGGTACTTGGGGTACTTGGCCAAGTACCTCAAGTATCCCAAGTACCTCAAGTACCCCAAGTCCAATGGACTTGGCCAAGTCGGGTGGGTTGACTTGGCCAAGTACCAGGTACTTGGCCAAGTCCTCCAAGTCCCTGTTCAAGTTCATGCCCAAGTTCACTGTGAGATGTATTGAATAAAGATGATATGCATGGAAGTCAATCAAAGGACAGCTGCTCTTGATCAAGGTCAAGTGTACAATATTTGTTAGCGGGTGCAGCGGCGGCCAAAAAAAATTGCCACCACAGGTAATTGAACCAGCAACCTGCAAATTCAGTGTCCAACACAGCATGTTCAACCACTACACCACAGAAGCTCACACTGTAGCACAGAATAGCAG